AAAAAATCCTTGGATTTGTAGATATCTAATTTTTTCTGATGCAAATCAAGTTTTTTGCATTTTTTCAAAACCGTCTATTAAAAATTTCGCATAAATAGCTTCTGAGCTGCTCGAAATTTTATAAAAAATTACTTTTTTCCGTGAGATTTATGGTTGGGGGAGACAAAAAGAAAGTGTGAAAATCACCCAAAATCCCGCCTTACCGATGAATTTTTCGGTGCAAAAATTCGATTTTCGAAAATTTTCCTTCATGGGGTGTTCAATAGTGATCAAACGCACGTTAAAATGAGTTGGTTTGTTTCGGCAAAAAATTCTCCTGGGAGAATTTACTTGGGAAAGAAGAAACAGGAGGGGGACGGAATCTTCAAAGTTCTATGAAAACCCCAGATCTTCTTCAAACGAGCTGATTTCAACCAAGTTAATACTTACAGGATATTTTTTATTTTTACTAGAAATTTCACCCAATGGTAATCGGTCAAAAAAGCCGCTTTTGAGCCTCAAGCTTCAGAGATTTGGTGTAAAATTAAAAAAACTCTATTAACTCGCTTAGTAACCGTTTGGAGAAAAAGCGAACTGCAACTTTTCTATGGCGATTGGCCCTCTCTATCCAGCGCAGTACTCAAAATGTCCTCTATCTTTCTTTAATTTGTAAATATTGAATTTTGTTGAAAACCATATTTTTCATATAAAGAACATCTTTTTCCGATAAGAAGCTTTGTTGGGGAGGAAAAAATAAATTGATTGTGAAAATCCTTCAAAAATCCCAAGCTTTTCTCGGTGCCAAAATTAAAGTTGAATTTTGTGAAATGCTCCTTCATGGGGTGTTCAATAGTGATCAAACGCACCTTAAAATGAGTTGGTTTGTTTCGGCAAAAAATTCTCCTGGGACAATTTACTTGGGAAAGAAGAAACTTTTTTATGGCGATTGGCCCTCTCTATCCAGCGCAGTACTCAAAATTTCCTCTATCTTTCTTAAATTTGTAAATATCGAATTTTGTTGAAAACCATATTTTTCATATAAAGAACATCTTTTTCCGATAAGAAGCTTTGTTGGGGAGGAAAAAATAAATTGATTGTGAAAATCCTTCAAAAATCCCAAGCTTTTCTCGGTGCCAAAATTAAAGTTGAATTTTGYGAAATGCTCCTTCATGAGGCGTTTCATACGCACAARGCACATGCCAAATTGAGTTGGTTTGTTYSGCAAAAAGGGCCCCGTASTAACTGAGGGRAAAAGAAGGAAAACCTTGTGGGCATCCAAYTTTCTCCCAACCTACTTACATTCCTAGGTGGATTCAACATGCTCAATCTCAATTAAACCCACTAGAGGTCCGGAAAGAATTGTCCTCATTGCTAAGGAAATCTGAGCCTAAAAAACTCTCATATTCCGACTGATTTCCATGTGAAACCCCCAGTGAAACTGTTCCAAATCACGTTTTTTATTCGGCCAAAAGTTGCAACTTACCGAGCGGCCGCTCCAAAGTTTTACTCGGTGTCCGGACCACCGGCAGGGAACTCCGCTGTTTTCCGCCTCTTCTGAAGCCGGTCGAGCTAGTCTCCACTTCCGACATGATGCCTGGATCATCGTCGAAGAGCATCGCGTTCGACGGGGGCGGATACCCGCGCAGATGGCCCTGAAACGAACAAAATTAGCCAACAAAACCTTCCAGCCCTGAACTTTCCCGGAGTAAATGACTTGATTATTCCATTACCTTTTCCCGAGCGGCTGCATCGACAACGATCCGAAGATTAACCGGTTCGTCTCTTCTAAGCAAAAACGATTGTTCCGAAACCTTTATCAATCTTCTGCCTCTTTTGTGCAGGATTTCAGGCGGATTGGCGGCGATCCGGTGAGACGAATCGGTGAAAGAGACGACACTTGCGACCGGATTGAAATTAACTTGTTTCGAAGGGGTTTTATTGGGCCGTTTTTCCGGATTTCTATTTAGATTGCCGAGCGATTGCGACAATCCGGAAGTAATTTCCAGGTTCGGCGGCAACGAAACGACACTTTGAGTCGACATGTTCACGCAATCTGGATGTGAACCAGCCAAATTAGCAAGTTTATTCTGGTGAATTTATGGCACAAAAGCCTTCTTTGATTGGGCGCTTAATGGGAAACTTTCCCCGGGGAAAAGTTCTTTATTTTCGCCTCATTGTAACTGAAAACAATGGCGTTTTTACACAGGGTGGACTTGCCTGGACTTGAACACAAACTCACTTAATTCTGGTAAAGAGGAACGGATGGGAATGCGAATGACGATTTATCCTGCGAGTCACTAAGGTGAAAACAAATACAGAATGCATATTCCGAACAAAAGAGCCCCAAACTAGTAAACCAGGAGCTTTGGGTGAGAGATTATTTCGTGCTCTGGACGCGGCCAACATTTCCGGGAACCGCCCGCCGACTGGATTAATTAGTTAAACAGCTCGACACTTCGGAATGATCAACTCGTTTTAATTGGTGAGATCATGCAACTTGGCACTTTTTCCGGCCGTTTAATGGTTTAATGGGAATAACAGTCGATTTATTGTCGATAGATGCTCACCTCTAAGTCCATGGTTCTGGCCAAGGGCCCGCCCTGTCCGGACATATTGGACAGGTACTGGCCGTTCGCCCCTGCACTTAAAGTGTGTCTTCGAGGGTCGTCGCGACGCCCGCTGCGGCTCCGCCCTCTCACCTCGCCACCCTCATTGTCRCTACGAGCTGGAACAGAAAAAAACACTTAAAATTGGCTCTTCTCYCTTCTGGGAGCGCCATGCAAGTGCCGAGGGGTTTTTCGACCAAAAASCCAMATATTTACAAAAGTAGAGACGATAGCAGAATTTTAGGCACACCTCTGGATTGAGGGGGTTCTTGTGRATGAAAAAGGTRCTGAGCACTTTTKCTCTAGAGGCCGTTACAAGGGCGCTGCTGACCCTGAGACACTCAAATSMAGTGCRAAATCTGTGTGTTGTGTGAAAATAAGGATCAGCTTATTTARAGCACAAATTCAAAAAATTTTTTGATTTGCCACATTTTCTAACCTTTCAAAAATTAACGTTCGGTGCGATTTTTGTGAAATTTGCAGCATATTTAGGATCATGTTTGGGCTAAAGATGGTCAAATTTACAAGTCTCTGCTCGCTT